TTTTTTGGTAGCATCACAACGCTCATGACACTCAAAAAGGAACAGAACACGGTTGTGACGTGATGCAGCGAAGAAATTTTCGACGTAATCTCTTGGCTACACTCGTCTCAAAAGAAAGTGGAGTACCTGGTAGCCTCATTAGAACCCCCACAGTGCAGTTACTAAAGCGATTGCATATGTGGACACTCGAGACGCAGGCAAAGCGCATACATGACCTTCTACTATATACGCGTTAGTACTCCGTTTGAATTGTCAATGTCAAGTACTGCCATCGACCGCAAAATAAAAGAAGGCCACAAGTTATCAAGCGACGTCCTGCGTCATTCACTACTTCGTTCATTCTACTTTAACGGTAATGCGCCGAACATTCATGACCAGCAATGCGACGGCGCGATAACGAACAAATGTGTAACGTACCATTCGCAGAGAACTTGCGTGACATGAAACACCGAACTCGTGTTCAGATCAACGTTTCACTTCCACAATAACACCTAATTAGCGGCCAAATTAGCCCAGTCTAACCGCGAAACGCACTACCCAACACAACTGACTAGACGTTGAATGCCGCCGCGACAGCCGTTTCGCGGGAGCGTGCAGACGGCATTAAAGTAACAAAATAAGTGTGGCTATCATTTGAAATTTTAATAACAACAATGTTCAAATAACAAATGTTTCTAACTAAAATACTCCATTGAAACCTATTTTCACACAATTCACGCTCACTTTTTTTTATTTTGTCAAGTCGCTAGTGTAGCGCCTGTTGAACTAGGTTCTGTTTGGCTACAGTGTACTAGAATAGAGGCAGTGTGCTCACAGGCGGCAGTGGGTGACCCACTTCGTGTCGACGCCGAGAGGCGGCGCGGTTCGCAGCGTCACCTGAGAGGCGGCGCGGTTCGCAGCGTTAGCCTCATTAACGAACTAGGACATAACACTAAAGAAGCATTGTTAAAAGCAGTAGAAAAAAGCTTAAAGGACGGACAAATACCGGACAGTTGGCGACAAAGTAGAATGAACTTAATCTATAAAGGCAAGGGAGAAAAGGACAAGATTCGCTCGTATAGACCACTAACCATTACATCGGTACTATACAGGTTGGCGATGCAAGCAGTAAAAATGAAAATAGAAACATGGGCCGAACATAACGATATTTTGGGAGAACTTCAGAACGGATTTCGAGTCGACAGGCGGTTAGACGATAACCTGTTTGTTCTCACTCAGTGTATAGAAATATCTAAAATAGAGAATAGGCCCTTGTACGTGGCTTTTCTAGACATCACTGGGGCATACGACAACGTTAATCAGGAAATTTTGTGGGATATATTGAAAGGAATGGGCATGGGCGACGACTGTATACAGCTTTTGAGGGAGATATACCGAGAAAATACAGTTTGCATAGAGTGGGAAGGAATGCGTAGCAAAGAGAACGTTGAGGTTAGCAGGGGTCTGAGACAGGGATGTCCTTTGTCCCCACTGTTATTCATGCTGTACATGGTGAGTATGGAAAAAGCGCTAGAAGGTAGCAACATTGGTTTTAATCTGTCACACAAACAGGGCGGCATGATGATTGAGCAGAAGCTTCCAGGTTTATTTTATGCGGACGATATCGTCTTATTTGCGGACAGTCGAGATGATATACAGCAGCTGGCGAATATATGCGGAAGGGAAGGTGAAGCTCTTGGACTAGGATTCAGTGTAACGAAGTGTGGATTGATGGTATTCAATGATCCCTGTGATCAGACGGTGTCCATACAAGGCCAGGAAATACCGAGGGTAAGTGAATACAAGTACCTTGGAGTATGGGTAAATGAGAGTGATAGATACATGGAGGTACAGGAAAAAGCCTCGGCAGCAAAAGGAAAGAGGAATGCGGCAATAATGAAGCACAGAGCGTTGTGGGGATACAATAGGTATGAGGTGCTTCGAGGTCTGTGGAAGGGTGTAATGGTTCCAGGGCTTACTTTTGGGAACTCAGTGGTGTGCATGAGGGCAGAGGTGCAATCGGGAATGGATGTAAATCAAAGGACTGTGGGACGCCTCGCGTTGGGTGCTCACGGGAAGACGACAAACGAGGCTGTAAAGGGCGATATGGGGTGGGCAGGTTTTGAGGCGAGGGAAGCGCAGAGCAAAATAAGGTTCGAAGAAAGGCTAAGAAATATGAAGGAGAGTAGATGGGCAGAGAAGGTGTTCCGTTATTTGTATAGGAAGAGCGTGGACACACAGTGGAGAAAAAGAACTAGAAGACTCACTAGTAAATATACGGCTGGTATTGTGAGCCATATGTCAACAAAGAGCGTTAAGGGAAAAGTCAGGGAGGCGGAGAGGATTTACTGGATGGCAGCTATGGAGAAAAAACGGGCTCTGAGTAACTACCGAAAGGGCAAAAATGAAATAAGGAGGGAGGCATTTTACGATAATTCAAGGGGAAGCGCTTTACTGTTTGAAGCGAGATCGGGTTGCCTTAGAACGCGTAGTTATAAAGCAAGATTCAGTAAAGAAGAAGAACAATGCACATGCTGCGGGAAAGATAAGGAAACGGCGGAGCATGTTCTGATTGAATGTGGAGATATCCACCCAGGTGTACGTTTGGGCACGAGCCTACAGGAAGCCTTGGGTTTTATGGACAACAATGGAAAGCTGAACACACCCGCGATTGAAATAAGTAAGAGACGGTTGGAGTATTGGTGGCAGAAAATTAGAGAGAAAGGACAAAAATAAATATTGGATAAATAAAATATGGACAGTGTGCCGTAAATGGCAGAGAACTTAAGGTGAAAATTTACCTTTTTTTTCCATTAAGATAGAATTTATCGAAGTAGAGGCATTAGGCCAACATAAAAAAAAAGGGAAAAAGTTCTTTTTTTTTGTCGAGCCTGGTGACATACTTGTCACCACCCCGTTATAAAGGGGACGCTCATAGCATCCTTCCTTCCTTCCTGAAACTCCTTTGCGCGCCGAAGTAGAGAGCCACAGCGCAATTGTTGAAATGCCAGAAATTATGCAACGTTCGCGACATGCAATGCACGACACTTCTTTTGGGGCATCTTATCAGTGTGCAGGGCGTGAAGCAACTGACATCGTATTATTTTCCTGCCGTTTAAATGTTCAAAATGGTTTTGCTTATGCAGCGGTCATGTCGACTGCGGTTCCGAGGAGCGAAAAACACTACGTGCTTTTTTTTTTCGCAATGTCAGAATTAAAATTTTGGAGTTTAACGGGCCGAAGCCACACTTCCGCTATGAGGTGCGCCATAGCGGAGGGCTGCAGGTTAATTTAGATCCCTTTAGAATTTTTAACGTCAGCCGAAATGCCGACACGCGGCTTGTTTCGTTTTTTTCTCCTCCTTCGGGAGAACAGCCACCGCGGCTAGGATCGAACACACGTCCTTAGGTTCAACAGTACAACGCCTTAGACAGCCTCCACGCCGGGTTTTTCTTGATTACGTGCTGCGGCAAAGCATTGTCTGACACATTCTTGTTGCTTCTGGGGAAGCTTCGAAATCTGCTCACTTAGAGTCTCTTCGGCTACTGCTGCATTGGAAGCCCTGGAAGGTGTTCGTTGTACTCTTGACCTCATTGTCAAGAGAGCCTTCCTGAAGTATTTGCAGCTCATGCACTGTCCACCTGAAAATAGAAATGTGCGGAAATTGTAGCAAATTCTGACTGGGACGTGAACAAGAAAGCACTGCCAGTACTTATAGGCGCCAGAATGCGCCGGCAAGTAATACATTATGTAACAAAGAACTGCACTACTTCAGTTAAGTGAAAATCGGGCGACTCGTTACCCACCTTTGGTTGTTACTTTGCCGCTGCAGTTGATGCTGAAATACGTCGCATGCTTGATTTTGAGCTGCTTCTGGAGTCCTGCTGTTAAAAAGCAGGTGTCATAATCTTTGGCATTCAGAGCACCAATACAGAGTTCGGTAGCTTCCACGCTTTCCGCTTCTTCCTGACATTTAATGATGCGCTCCCCAATCAGCCGCCCCCTCACAAACACCTTGCAGTAGCCATCGGGCGGTTTATCGCAGAGGAACAACACAACTTTTTCGGACGTGACAACGCCTTCTTCAAGGTAAGTCGACGAGCAACACATCACTCCGTTAAGGTCAGGATGGTGATGCATACTCCAGTACTTGGAAGGAGTCTTTAAACAATAACAAAACGACAAGCAATGCTCGGGCTCCGCTGGAACGTCATCGTGTGTCAAATCGCAGTCCTCCCCTGAATCACCAACAGCAGCCCGTGGAAATTCAGTGCAGTCAATCTCGAGAGCACTTCGGCTCTTTTTCTTTGCGGCTGCATGGTCATTTTCGTACATCTTCCTTTTAGCTCTCGGTTTTGGCATCTTCTTCGTGAGGTACTGCGGCAAATTTGGAAGAATCGTGGGGACGGAGTTTTCCGACAGCATCGGTTTATCACGAGGAATGCGTACCTCTTTGCCATCTATATGGTGCACGAACTCCTTGATAACGAACCTCGGTTCGAAATGCAGTTCGCAGACCGCAGAAAACTCATCCAGTTTCTTATCTGCACGGTGGAGATTTCTTTCCCACTCCTTCCACCGTTCTTCATCACGCGGGACGCTGAACAAAGACGCCTGTGGTGCATCCTGCACACGACTGTACCCAGTTCGACAACCGGGCGCAAAACAGTAATTTCGACGGCGGTTAGGCATCTTCACGAACACATACTACACAATGATCCAAGCATAAAGCACAGAACACGCACACGGGGTACCCACGTTGATCCAATCGAACCGATCGAACTGAACTGAGCGAACCAGCCCCGTCCGCCAACACGGCCAACACGAACCAAGAGAAGTTTTTCAGGTGCGTCAAGCGTCAGCGCCCCTGGTGGGCATCGTGGCAGTCGACACAGAGTGCGCCACGGCGGAGCACCGCAAGGATAGGGCAGTGAGCACACTGCCTCTATTCTTGTACACTGTAGTTTGGCGTTGCATAAATCAGTTGCCAGACTTTGGAGTGGTTGCTGCTAGATTGCTACTAAATTTAGTAGATAAATTTGCGCCTATGGTTGTGGCTTCTCCGTGAGCGTTTGGTGTCGTCCGCGGTGCAATTTGCGAGTGTGTGAGGTACGTTTGCCATTTTAATTAACAAAATGAACGTAAAACGAGCGTTGCAGAAGTCGGGCCCCGTTCTCTTGCTATGTGCGCAGCTGTGCAATTAAGAGATCGTGGCTCAGTATTAAGGACGACGGGGAAAACTGAATAGAGTCGCAGCAGGCAGTGCGCAGCCCCCCCCCCCCCCTTTTTTTTTTCTCACAGCTGATCGTGCCGCGTCAACCGTGTGCCACGACGGGGACGCTACGCTTCCTCTAGCCGTGTCAGCACAAGACACATCGTTCGGACTCGTGTACATGTGACGAATAAACGTCCCAAAGCTGGCTAATCGGGGTACGTTGGATATGCTACAGCTATATACGCCTGGAAGGCTGCTTTATCGACGCAGTTGGAGCGAATTAAGCGTGACTCGCGCGTACCTGTAAATGAGACCCCGCATAAACCTATTGCCACGCAATTCACGATCACGTTTTTTTTTTTTTTATGTTGTCGAGTCGCTAGTGTAGCGTTTGTGGTGGCTGTTTTCCTCTGCACATGGCTTGTGCCCATCATGGAGTTAATATACAGACTATTATCTCCATAGGGGGATTGGCCGATTATAAGGTGAACGTTCCCGATACTACATACTTCCAGATTCGCAATTGGCACTTCAAATCATAATTAACCACGACCGGCTTTTATAAAGCCGGTCGTGTAATTAACTAACTAGCGCTTCTGGGAATGAATTAATGCCGAAAGTGTAGCGCTTGTTGCCGCGAGTTGCGTCAGCGTCCTTCTCGTTTTTCCATGCTCTTCTCACAGATTCGAACAATTTGGATCTGGGGGCTTTCGCCACTTCTGTTCCGCTTGTTCTCTAAAAAGCCCTTGGTACTACTTAGGAACCTGTGCAATAACATTTCATCTGTCGGTCAGTTAGTTGCTGTCTTTTGGGGGGGATGGTGCAATTGTCACGCGCCGGTTTGTTGATGTTGCTGGCTTCTCCGAGCACTGGCCCAGATTCCGCAAGCCACAAATCATATTTGTACAAGCTTTGTTCGACTCCCTAAATGTACAAATTCGTGATGTGCGTCCCATCACCCCCAGCATCACTAGTTTGCATTGGCTGCCACAAACCTTGCGAGCGCTCTCTCCTAGCAGATCGTTTCAAGGGAAAGAGGGTGCACTCGTGCATGGGAGCAACTGCTGATTTCCTTGCCTCCACGGTGCATTTTTGGGGGGGCCATGGATATTTGCAGCTTTCCAGAGAGGATTGTAGCACTATTCGGGAAGCCTTTGCTGAAAATAGTCGTCAATGTGGTGCTCATATAATGCAGTTTTGTGTACAATGCAGTGTCATGTGTTTACATGAAAACCAGTCAGGGAGGGGAGGGTGCAAGTCGGAGGTATAAAACCATCTCTAAATAATTAATAATCATGCTCTAAAGCAAACTAGCTATCCAGCCAGGATAAATGGGTCTTTAGCTATCTATTGCAACAGAAAAAACAAGATTCAATATCTTTTTGTCGTTGCTCCTTTGTCTCACAAGGATTTCCCCTTTTAAAAAGGTATGTAATGTGGTCCTTTACTTCAGCTCAACTTCGCCTGTAATCATCAAATATTATGCCAGATATTTCAGCACTGGTAGACTACAATGGCTATACACTTTCTGCTTTAGGGCGTGCACTAAATTGCCTGTGGGGATTTGGGAACATCTTTTTTGTGTACTTTAGTGCAGCCTTAATGTTCAGCTAAATTAAATTGCTTTGAGATTACCATTGTAAAATTTTTAATAAAACCAATCGTGAGCTGATAGGTCTGTGATGTAATTGTCCAAGTCTTTTCAGTCTCCCTAATTCTGTGTTACTATAACATTGGTGCTTTTCCAACTAGGTGGCACATTTGAGATCTTATCACACCTTGTCAACGAAGGCTCTCTGGGCACCGCCATAAACCCCTCTGTTATGTGAACATGCGTGACCACCCCCCCAAATGCAGGTTCAAAGCTGTGACATCAGCTTTTGTACTCTTGTACAACAGCTCAGAAAGGAGGGGATGCTCCTCTTCGTTAAAAAGGTCTATAGAGCGTCACAAGTTTCTGAGTAAGATGTCCCCTCCAGCTTTAATGAAAGTGACCTCTATACAGTCTTGTCCAGGTGCTTTTATGTGAGACACCTTGTGTGACTTTTGTAACCTCAGTGATAGCAACACAGGAAACTTTACTGTGTGGTCCTACTTTAATTTTATTTGGGAATAACTTATTTATCTGTGAAATGGACAGTGTTCAGAGTGTAAGTCTTCTGTTACTTTTATCGCAGCATTTAACTATTAATAATGCCATGCTTATTTTTCACTGCATGCATTTCGGTATTTCGTATAGAGTTAGTTACTTTGTAGATGTTTCGGTGCTGTCATTTTTACCACTGCTTTTTGATATTATAATTCAGTATGTGACTAGGCCTATACCCGTTGACCAGATTTAATGGCTTAGTGAATTCTATTTTTTTATGCTAATTCATTTAGTAGCTATTGTAGTTTCTTTATGCAGATTTTAGTGGTCCAAGAGATGTTGCTTATTTTTTCCTTCCAACTTCAGTTGCTGATATATAAATTGGTATAGTTATGGTTTTCTATGTCTTTTGTTTTGTTCAATTTGAGCACAATTCTTGCCCTCGCTAGCTTATGATTGGTGCATTTTACAATAATAATAATTTTTGGGGTTTAACGTCGCAAAACTGCCACCATATGATTATGGGAGACGTCATAGTGGAGGGCTCCAGAAATTTCAACCACATCAGGTATTTTAATGGGCATCTAAATTTAAGCACACGGGCCTCAAGCATTTTCGCCTCTATTGAAAATGCTACTGGCGCAGCCAGGATTCTATCCCGCGACCTGCAGGTCAGCAGCGAAGTGCTTTAGCCACTAGACCACTGTGGCGGGTAGGTGCAGTTTACCGTGTACTACTGTAATTTCCTGCACTGAGCTGTAGTCTTGACACACCATTAATCTATTTAACTTTTCTTCATGTTTTTTCTTCACCTTACAGACAACCAACTTTTCCTGAGTACTGAAGCATACCAGCACCCTGTAGCTATAGGAGATGAAGGAGATCACTAAAACATCAAAATACTTTTTTCTCCATGAATAATGTGTGACTCGAACAAACTGCCACCAGTTCATAATGATATCTGTCAATCCTGAACTGGCACACACCTGCATGATTCAATGTCATACATTTATTCATGATGCTAGTACATGTAATATGTTTCTATTGATTGTTGCTTACCTTTACTGTGTATTCATTAGCCTTCTGCCTAATGTGTTTATTAAACCAAGCATGTCTTTTTTTCTATGTTCATAACTTATTTTTGCAAACACACCCACTCACAGACACCCAATATACCCATCAGAATTAATTGATTGGGTAAGTAGGCTATTCATAATACTTGAAATACGACCCCGTTACTTCACAGGGGCACAAATAGCATACTATAGCCAATTTTGTTGATTTGGCTAGTTGTTCTGAGCTCAAGGCGTACAGTATCCTGCTAACAGATAGCACAAAACTTGTACCCCATTTTGTGATGTCTTTTACCCTCTTACCTATATGTGCAGAATGTTTTCTTGTGCTTTACATGTAGGAAGTAAAAAAAAACAGGTAAAGAGCATGCTTAATGCTGGCAGTTAAGTGTAAGCCTGTGTCTTACAGATTTACATTTTGTGTTCCCCAAAGCAACTCGGCCTGCGCAGAGCCCCAAACCCTGCTAGTGCTTGTCTGTAATGTCGTTTTTTTTTTTCAGTAGTCCCTGTAAGTATGCATGTGCAACTTTTGCATTACACTAATATGAAAAATATAAAAGTCCTCGTTAGTGCATGTGGTGACAGCAGTATGGCATCAAATATTTTAAATAAATACCAATGCCACTTGTTTATTAAACTTTGAGCATGCTAATAAATGGATTAAAAAGTGTGGGATCATGCTGTGGGTGGCAAGCTTGAATGAAACTTGAAATAAACACATTGCTGCAGCAACTCGAGAGGTTTAAACCATGCCATTTGTAACCACTGCGGGAATTTTTTTTTTACAGAGGTGTGAACTCGCTGGTGAAGACAAAAGTAAATTACTAAAACTGATGCTTGTTATTGTCACCTTATTAAAGCAAGTCAGATGGGCAGAAAAAACAACATAGCAGTCATGCTGTTTTCATTTGCTTAGCAGTTCGTCATAAATTTGAAAGAACAAAAAAAAAACAATACATTGAAACGTGCGGCTGCTTCATGCAACACCTAACAATGTTGGCACATCTGAATCATCCCCCCTCGACCCCATGTACACATGGACATAAGCATTATTACCACAGAACCAATTGACATGCTGAACAGAAAAAAAAGCTACTTCTCCTGAAGAGTGCTGTAGGAACCTTTAGATCAACACCAGCCACCACTCATCTCTTTTTACAACTCAGAATGCAAATTACAAAGCTGATAGGTTATCTGAGGTTGTAGTCGTTTTCTTGGAAAAAGAGCCTGCTTCATAATTGGCTTCATCTGCCCAGGAAGATGGGGGTGATAATAGAGTTATAGTGAACACCCTAGCTTCAACACCTGGAGAATCAGTGAATATAATGCCTTTCGCTTTGTGTGCACTGCTTTTCGTATATGTTCAACAGCCAACAGGGCTGCACATGCTCCAGCTCTTAACTATGTATGCATGCTTCATTTTGGAGAACATCAGATATCGAAAAATGCAAGTGAGGAGCTACATAAGAAACTCTAGCATCAGACCAATGCATTAATAATATCTAGGGTTTTACCAGGGGCGGCACCAGCAGGGTGCATAGGGGGACTTGACCCCACAAATTTTTGCCTGCCCCCCCCCCCCCCCCTTGTCACCCCAAGATAAAGCATCGTCGAAGCACAACACATAAGTTCACTACCTTCCTGCTCTCCTCAAGGAACGCAATTGTTGATTCCCCACTCTCAGAAAAAAAAAAAAAACCTGGCGCCGCCCTACACGCCAGAGCCACGCTGATTATGAGGCACGTCGGGGTGGAGGGCTGCAGAAATATAGACCATCAGGTGTTCTTACGTGCACTGACATTGCACGGTACACGATCGAGCCTCTACCATTTAACTTCAACTGAAATTAGATGCGAATAATGTAGCGCATAGTACTTTGCCGAGAATGCATTTGAATACATATCATTGGCATGATTTCACTGCCTTGGCCAGAGCAGCTTGGCTGGATGCATTAGGCTGCGTTTTAAGAATATGACGCTAGTTTCTTCACTCGGGTTTCCCTCTCTGTTTGTCTTTTACCACAAAAAGCGTGATATACCGGTGTTACACCACCACTTTCGGTCACAATCGGTCCTGATTCACATTTTCTTGGTCATGATTGGGTGTTTATTACTCAAGCTGAAAAAAGCGCTATCCTTGTTCAAAAATGTGATATAACATGATCACCTGTATAAGAGATATGACGTTAACAATGAGCAGACTGGAAATGTCAGTGACAGGCGTTGAAACCACTGCAATCATCTTTTAATTGAAAAATTTGCTTTTCACGCCGATAAAGAAATTGCACATTTGCGTAATATACGCGCGGGATTCAACCCTGAACATCCCACTGAGCAACTGCGCCAGCACCAATTTCACAGCGCATTGACTAATTAACGCGCGTCACGGAGTCCTGGACACAAGCTTCATCATCCCTTGCAATAACATGCTAACATGGCTATACCGCCTCTTTCCGATACGCTACTCATTTCAAGTGCGAGTTAACCCCTTGGCACAGGGTTCACTCGATGGCAGACAACACACGCGCTATGAAGAAACGATCTTTCCTGGAATACACAACACACCATGTGTTCCGTTCCTCTTTGTCGTACCGTGGCATAGGGAGATCTGTAAGGAGTAAGCGAAGTGAAAGCTTCCCAGATCCAAGTTGCCTCGATGGATTCTGGGCGATCAAACGTAACAATCGATTGATGTGGGGTTTAACGTCCCAAAACCACCATATGATAATGAGAGATGCCGTGGTGGAGGCCTCCGGAAATTTCGACCACCTGGGGTTCTTTAACGTGCACCCAAATCTGAGCACGTACGGGCCTACAACATTACCGTCTCCATCGGAAATGCAGCTGCCGCAGCCGGGATTCGATCCCGCAACTGGCGTCTCAGCAGCCGAGTACCTTAGCCACTAGACTACCGCGGCGGGGCGCGTAACCGTGGTCAAGCGCCTCCCCCCCCCTTCCCCTTGCATTTTACGCATTGTGATTTTTTTCCCCTTGATGGCCTTCCCTGCCGTCTGCTGTCTAGTCACCTTTCGCGTTGCGCTATGTTGCCGTTGGCGACTCGGACGCCTATTCGAAACAACGCTCTCGAAGTTGTGATATGTGTATTAACGCTGGCGCGATGCTCTTGTTCGTTGCGAGCTTTCCAACTTGGGTGTCCTCCCACTTCTTCCCCACCCTCCTTTGCAATACGTGTTGCCCCTTCGACGATTCGTGCCGAAGAAAACCCACGGTTGCTCTGTTCTAGGGTGGAGGAAGGTCTGGGTGGAAATCCGCTTCCGCCGCGCTTGTTGGCGGCTAGAAAAGCTCTACCATGATGCACGACCATGTTCTTGGGTCCATGTGGTCCACGCTCGAGCAGCTCATGTTTGTGAAGCGCAACACAGAGATAGGCAGCAAGCAGTGGCGTACCAATTGACTCTTTCCTCTTTCGTGAGTGGGGATATATATATATATATATATATATGTTGTGGGCATTTGTTACTTACATCGTCCTCATCCCTGCATAATCACAATCACCATCATCCGCTTGTCTCTTTGTCCTCATTGTCACTCTAGTTCTACATCATCGTCATCGTCTGTGTACTGGCTCTGCCCGTTCGTTTTGCGAGGTCTTTCCTCAATTAAACGCTGTCGCAACCAAGACTACTAAGACTTCATACGTGGTGGAGGTGGATTTTCGGTCCTCTTACCTCCCGCAGCCTGCTCTACTCGCTGGAGCTTCGTTCAGGCCGCCGATTGCGCGCACTGTCAGGCAGCATGTCCCAGACCCCAGACCGAGCCTACCGGAGCTGATGTCATCAACCACACACCGACGCAAGCTGCCCCTCCTATTTACATACACGGACATCAGCGGGAACCCCCGCTTTTCTCTGGTCTTCGTGGAGAAGACGTAGAAGACTGGCTCGACGACTACGACCGCGTAAGTGTCGCTAATCGGTGGAGCGAGGCCGCCAAACTGCGTTACGTCCCTTTTTATCTGACCGGAGTCGCAAAGACATGGTATTTTAACCATGTCATTGACCTGCCCGACTGGGCTACCTTCCAGCAGCAGCTGCGACACGTTTTTGGGACCCCGGAGATTCGATCCGCCGTCGCGAAGAGGACACTTGATACTCGCCGACAATATCCCGGTGAATCGTACACTTCATACATCGAGGATGTCCTCGCACTGTGCCGGCGTGTCAATCAATCCATGCCGGAATCGGACAAAGTGCGCCACATATTGAAAGGCATTGGGCCTGTTGCCTTTAATGCACTTGCTGTGCAGAACCCAGCTACCATCGCTGAAGTCGTGACGACATGCCAGCGCATTGATACGCTGGACTCTGTTCGCCTCCAACCGGATATTGACGACCACCACTCTACGTCTCATGGCCACCTGCGTGACCTCATCCGGGACATTATACGCGAAGAATTGCGGTCTATGGGCTTCACCCCTCCTACACCGCGTCCTACACAGTCTTCGGGAGTGCCCTTGCGTGACATCGTCAGGGAGGAACTTACATCGCTGACCGGCGTTGCGCCCATACAGCCACCTGCTTCACGCCCCATACCCACGTACCCTGAAGTTGCTGCCGTGCCTCCCAGCGACGCCCACGCGACATTGCTGCGTCCATCCTACGCATCAGTTGCTGCCGCTCCCCCGGTAAACTACCATTCCGTGCTCCCTGACCCTCCGGCCCACCTGACCGCGCTATCTCCAGCTGCCCCTAATGCCTTCTATTCCCCACAGTGGCGCTCGTCTCGCCCTGTATGCTACTATTGTGGCTATCGCGGCCACATATCTCGTTTCTGCCGAAAGCGCCAGCGAGATGAGCGTCGGAACGATGTGCGTGAACGGGATTTGTACACAGGGGCGTCTTATCAAGGTCGGCGTTATTCGTCTCCCCCGCACCGGTCTCCATCTCCTCCTGCATCGACTGCACCACGAAACAGCCGAAACACGAGACGCCGCTCGCCTTCGCCCTTCCGCCGTTCCACTTCTCCACTTCGGCCCGCCTCATCACCTCTGATATTCATTCGGAAAACTAAGTGATGCAGTTTGTGGAGGA